GAGCAGGATTTGACAGAGAAGGGAGCAAGGTGAGAGGGGAGCAACTCAGCCTCTACAACCACAGCCCCACCCAACATACCAGGCATCAAACAGCCCATCCATGGGGCACAACCCACAGACCACACTGGCAGGTTCCTGCAAGAGGCAGTAAGGAAATGCCCACCGCAAGTGGGCCCAGGAGACACAGTCTTGGGTCTGGTCTTGGTTCTGTCACACCTGCCACTGTCCCGAAGTCAGCCATCATACCACCAGGGTCTGTTTTTCACCTGTTACATGGAGCTGAGTGCAGAGCTGAGAGCTCCTGGAAGCTGTGGCACTTTTCCTTGTCACCTAGAAAAAGGCCTGGCTCCTGCCCCTGGCCAGCTGAAGAAACCAACCAAGACACAGTTAAGAGAATAAAGAGACAAGCCAAGGACTGGGAGAAAATATCTATAAAACACGTATTTGATGAAAGACTTTTTTTGTTGTTTTGGGTTTTTTTGTTTTTAGATTTTATTTATTTATTCCTGAGAGAACACAGAGAGAGGCAGAGACATGGGCAGAGGGAGAAGCAGGCTCCCAGCAGGGAGCCTGGTGCAGGACTCTATCCCAAGACCCCAGGATTACAACTTGAGCCAAAGGCAGACGCTCAATCACTGAGCCACCCAGGTGCCCCCTGATGAAAGACTTGTATCCAAAATATAGAACTCTTAAAATTCTACAATAACAACTCAATTTGAAAATGGGCAAAAGATCCAAACAGACACTTCATGAAATAAGACATACAGATGCCAAATAAGCACATGAGAAGATGCTCAGCTTCATAAATCAGTAGAGAATTGCAAATTAAAGCCACTACACACATATTAGAATAGCCGAAATACAGAACACAGACAAAATACCAAATGTATGGAGGCTGTGGAGCCCAGGAACTCACTCACTGATGGGAATGCAAAAATGGTGCAGCCACTGTGGAAGATAGTTTGGAATTTCTTACAAAATTAACTCCACTCTTTAACTGTATTCTATTCTATATTCTATCAGTTACATAAAAATAAACGTAAAAATTTAGTAGGTACATGAAAGCAATTAAAGCAAAATCAAGTAAAAAAAAATTATTGTTGGGTAGGCTGGACTAAGAGTATCAGTAATATGTTTTCCAGAGATGCAAAATCCTCAACACAATATTACCAAACCAAATTTAACAATATATTAAAAGGGTCAATAAACACAATCAAGTGGGATTTAATCCAGGGATGCAAGATGATTCAATACCCACAAATCAATCAATATGATACACCATATTAACACAAGGAAGGAGGGATCCCTGGGTGGCGCAGCAGTTTGGCGCCTGCCTTTGGCCCAGGGCACGATCCTGGAGACCTGGGATCGAATCCCATGTCGGGCTCCTGGTGCATGGAGCCTGCTTCTCCTCTGCCTATGTCTCTGCCTCTCTCTCTCTCTCTCTCTGTGACTATCATAAATAAATTTTAAAAAATTAAAAAAAAACACAATGAAGGATAAAAACTGAATGGTCATCTCAATAGATGCAGAAAAAGCATGTGACACAATTTAATATCTATTTATGATAAAACAGTCAACAAAGTGGGTATACAGGGAACATACCTCAACATAATAAAGGTCATATATGACAAGCCCACAGCTAACATCATACTCAACTGTGAAAAGCTGAAAGCTATCCCTCTTAGATCAAAAACAAGGCAACTCTCACCACTTCTATTCAACACAGTACTAGAACTCCTAGCCACAGCAATCGGACAAGAAAAAGAAATAAAAGGCATTAAGATCAGTAAGGAATAATAAAACTGTCCCTATTTGCAGATGGCATGATACTATATAGAGAAATCCCTAAAGAATCCACCAAAAAGGGGTACCTGGGTGGCTCAGTGATTGAGTATCTGCCTTTGGCTCAGGTGGTGATCCCAGGGTCCTGGGATTGAGTCCCACATTGGGCTCCTTGCAGGGAACTTGCTTCTCCCTCTGCCTATGTTTCTGCCTTTCTCTGTGTGTCTCTTATGAATAAATAAATAAAATCTTTTTTTAAATAATAAATAAAAGAATCCACCAAAAAACTATTACTACTAATAAGTGATATCAGTAAAGTTGCAAAATACAAAATTAACATACAGAAATCTGTTGTATTTTTATACTCTAATAATGAACTAGCAGAAAGAGAAATTAAGAAACCAATCCTATTTGGGATGCCTGCCTTGCTCAGTGGTTGAGCATCTGCCTTTAGCTCAGGCCATGTTCCCAGGGTCCTAGGATAGAGTCCCACATCGGGCTTCCCACAGGGAGCCTGCTTCCCTCTCTGCCTCTGCCTCTGTCTCTGCCTATCTCTGTGTCTCTCACAAATAAATAAATAAAATCTTAAAAAAAAAAAAAAAAAAAGGAATCAGGGCAGCCCTGGTGGCCCAGCAGTTTAGTGCCGTCTTTGGTCCGGGGTGTGATCCCGGAGACCCGGGCTCGAGTCCCATGTCGGGTTCCCTGCATGAAGCATGCTTCTCCCTCTACCTGTGTCTCTGCCTCTCTCTCTCTCTCTCTCTCTCTCTCTCTCTCTCTCTCTCTCTCTCGGTATCTCTCATGAATAAATAAATAAAATCTAAAAAAAAAAAAAAAAAAGGAATCAAAGCCACAGTGAGATGCCACTTCACACCCACTAGGCCAGGACAACTGCAACCCAAGAGGCAGATACCTAGCACTGATGTGGAACCCTCTGACACTGCTGGGGAGGGCAACAAAACAATGGCCAGGCTGGATAACACCTGGCAGCTCCTCCAAAGCTTACCTCTAGAATAACCATAGGACCCAGCAATTCCACTCCCAGATCAACTGGTTTTACTCACACCACCTCTGACATCTGGTGCGCAGGGTTTTTTTTCTGGCTGCATGTCCTACAGCTCAATGCAGTCCTGACACTAACCGCCCAGGGTTAGTGCAGGACCCATGTTCAAGGGCTCAACTGTCCTCACCTTGATGCCAGTCCAAGTCCCAGACCACCTGCACTTCAGAAAAACTGGCTCTATAAATTGGAGTTCCTACAAAAACCTCCTCCAATTGGATAATGTGCTGGAGCAGCTCACAGGACTCAAGCAAACACTTTATTCCTATTTACCGGTTTGTTATAAAGCATATACAGCTCAGGCACAGCCAAATGGAAGAGACTCATAGGACATGACACGGAGTGGGAGTCAGGCACACCTCCCTTTCCAACACCTCCATGTGTTCAGCAACCTGGAAAATCTCCAAATTCCACTGCTGGGGATTTTTATGGAGGTCCCATTATGGAGGTACTGGTGATTAACTCAACTTCCAGCCCTCCCTCCTCCCACATCCAGGTAGGAGGTAGAACTGAAGGTTCTGACCCTCTAGCTACGCCTGGGCCATCTTGGCTACTGGCCCTCATCCTCAAGCTATCTCGTGGGCTCCCAGCCACCACTCATCTCAACAACACACCAAAGACACTCTCACACAGGAAGTTTCAAGTGTTTTAGGAACTCTGTGCCAGGACCCAGGGAAAAAGATCAAATATATATTTCTTTTTTTTTTTTCCAAATATATATTTCTTATTAAGCCACAGTGGGTATATACTCCAGAGAAATAAAAACATACGCCCACACAAAGACTTGGACAGGAGTGCGCATAGCAACATTATAGATAGCAGCTAAAAGGTGGAAATGCAGCAATGTCCATCACCTGATGAATGGATACATGAAATACAGTATGTACCCCTACAGTGGATGATGAAGGAAGCACGGCACCTGCTACAACCCAGATTATCCTTGAAAACAGGATGCTCAGTGAGAGAAGCCAGACACAAAACACCAGATGGCACAATTTTACTTATTTGGAATGTCAAAAGACAAACCGATAGAGAAAGAATAGAGATTAGTGAGTGGAGGGGATTTAATAAATAAAAATTTATTAAATTTATAAAAAATAAATAAAGCCTCATTTAGAACGGAATCGACAGGCCAGCAGGGGGCGCTCTCACACCCAACTGGTCAGCTGCAACCACATCCGGAAGAGAAGTCTCCACAGGTCCCCACCACACCACTCCTGCGGGACCACCCCAGTACCCCGGCGGGAGGAAGAGAGGCGCTCAGGTTCAGGCATCAACTCAGCCAGTGAGAGACTGTCACAATGCAGCCAATGAGAAGCCACCACACTTCCACCTCCCAGTCTGCTCCAATGGACTTTTAGTTTACAACAGCCCTCCCAGCTCCCCCTTCCCTCTATAAAAGCAACCTCTTTGTTCTCCAGACTTGCCAGTGGTTTCACAGTAGCTTGCTTGACCCGTGTTGTCATTCTCTGCTATTCCCAAATAAACCTATTTTGCTGGTGAGGTTGTACACTTCAGTGGGTGAGTCATAGAGAACACGGGTTACGTGTCAGGAGAGCTGGTACAAAGTAGGGGGGTAATACATCCACTGAACAAAGTTTCTGTAAAAGTTTGAAATAAACACAGGAAGGCCTGGGAAAGCAGCACAAGGTGACGCTGCTGAAGATAAGCCCACCATGCAAGGACAGCTCCCCCTGCCCTGTACAAACCTGTTGGTCCAAAATTCCAGCTTGACTCCTTCCCTGCGGGGACAAGCAGAATGCACACATCCCCAGACTGCTTAGCAGCGCGTGCCCAGAGAGTGATGAGCCGGAACAGCTGTTGGCAGGCACAGTGCTTCAATCTCCACACCTGCTCAACCCCTCCAAGGTGCCAGCTGCCCGGAGCCCGGAGCCCACCAAACCTGAAAGCCCATGTCCTCCAACAAAGCCTGGCAGGTTTCAACTGGTCCCTGGCAGAAAAGCATGCTAGATCCTCCACTCCAGATGAACATGTGAGTGGGTATGCTCCATCAAGCAGTTCACTGAACACCCAGCACTCAATTGATTAACAATAAATCCTGAGTCATGTGACCCAAGGCTCAGTCTGCCCTATGAGCTGGACACCAAGAGTGGAAGATGCCACTGCAGTGGGCACAGAAATGTCCCTGTCACCCTACCTTGGAGTGACACAGGCTCGAAACAGCAGATCAGACCTGGTTATAAAAGCCTTCGTGGAAGCCCAGCATCTCTCCCCAGGGCGCTGGGAGCTCCGAGGCCCCAGATGCTCCCAGGTCGCTGCCTGCCTGGCGAGCGCACGGAGGCGGAGAGCATAGACAAGAAGCTTCATTTCACAGCAAGTTTACCCAGCTGCCAGCACAGGGCTTGCTAGCAGCCTCCACTCCCGTTTGGCCAGCAGGCCTGACCAGCCCAGAGTCCTCCCTACAGGAATGCAGGTCTCCCTCTCCCGGTGGCCTCCTCCTAGGACCGCCCTTCCTCTGTCCACGGTCAAACTGGCACTTCTGCTTCCGGAAGCGTCTCACAGGATGCTTCTTTACAACCCCAGTGATGCATGGAATTCATGACTCCGGGCCTGAGATCATCAAGCTTGGCTCTCTCCCGAGCAAATGAGGGAGTGCGACAACAGGGCCACAGCCTGTCTGTGGAGTAGCAGCATGACCACTCATAAAAGGAAAACCCACTGAATGGAGTCAGGAGGTTAGAGGGGAAGCTGTGCCACTCCACAGCAATCACAGATGCCGACAAAAGAAGCTTCCAGGAAAGAATCCTCAGCTGAAATCTGGTGCATGCTGCCTCTTCCACAAGAATGCAGCCAGCCCTGCAACTGAGCCAGGGAAAGGCCACCATCACCTGGAGCCCTTGCTCCTTTCTGGTGGACATCCATTCCTTCCTCTCAGGCTCCCCCCTCTGCTCCCTGATAACCCTCCCCCTTCTGTCTGTTGGACTTGCCCACGGTTTTACCACAGCTCGATTGTCCCAAATTGCAACTCTCTGCTCTTTCCAAATAAACCCACGTTTGTTGGTAAAATAACTGACTTTTGTATTTTTAAGGTTGCCATTCTTTGGGGATCAGAAGTGGGATGCAGGGGCAACCCTAGCAACCCTGAGGCCAGTAGACACACAGGTGGCAGTGCCCCCAAAGCCAGCTAGGAGGGCTTGCCGCTTCCTTGCTGACCCTGGATTGTGAGGGCAAGTTTTCTCCCACATTTCAAGTGCCACTGTCTTTGTGTTTGAGCTTGCCTGACTTCATTCAGGATCTATTTTCGGGCTCTGACCTTTCAGTGAGTACTCACTCATCTGCCCTCTGTTCTGATTTCTTTTCCTGTTCAAACTGTGCTGTGTAGGAATTTTTCTGTGTGCTCTAGAGACAAACCTCAAGGAGATGGGGTCCCCATCATCAAAACTGGGGGTGCTGTCCCCCACTTCTGGGACCACAGTTGGTTTTATGTTTAAAAACTATAATCCCTCCTCATGAGCACTTTTTTTTATGAGCACTTTTTAAAAAGATTTTATTTATTTAAAAAAAAAGATTTTATTTATTTACTTGACACAGAGAGAGAGAGAGAAAGAGCGCACACACAAGCAGAGGGAACAACAGAGGGAGAGGGAGAGGGAGAGGGAGAAGTGGGCTCCCTACTGAGCAGGGAGCTCAACGCAAGGCTCAATCCCAGGACCCCAGGATCATGAGCCGAAGGCAGATGGTCCTCCGACTGACCCACCCAGGCACCCCCCCCCCCGCCATGCACACTTCTAACTAAATGGACCAAATTAACCGAATGTAATTTAGAACTTCCATGGCCATTATGGGAACTTTTAATCTCCCCAAACTTACTTTCTCAAACTAAACTGGACAGCCATGGCTCTAAAACCAGGACACCTACTGGTATCAGCACTTTGAAGGTCTAGAACATTATCAGGAATCTAGAACTGCCTCTGCAAAATATACTTTCTGGACGTGACTCTTGATCTCAGGGTCATGAGTTCAAACCCCACAATGGGAGTAGGGTTTACTTAAATTAATAAATAAAATCTTAATTTAAAAAAAAAAAAAAAAAACGGACACAGAGGCTCCTGAGGTCTCCTCTTCCCTTTCCCATCTTCTCTGTCTCAGGACATGCCCCGACCACATCCAGGGTCCCACCACCTCCTACCTTCCTCTTCCTCCGAGTCTCTCTTGAACCTATTAAAATGTGCCCCTTTGAGATACCTGGGTGGCTCAGCGGTTGAGCGTCTGTCTTTGGCTCAGGGCATGATCTTGGTCCAGGGATTGAATCCCACGTCGGGCTCCCTGCGAGGAGCCTGCTTCTCCCTCTGTCTATGTCTCTACTTCTCTGTGTCTCTCATGAATAAAAAAATAAAATCTTAAAAAAAAAAAGTGCCCCTTTAAAGGTAAGTCTTAGGATCCAAATAAAGTCCATATTTCTTACCTTCTCAGACTAAGGCTGAATTCTGACCCACAATTTGAGTTTCCTAAAGTGACTTGAGGACCTGCATAGGTAAGCTACAGAATCTTTTTTTTTTTTTTAAGATTTTTATTTATTTACCCATAAGAGACACAGACAGAGGCAGAGACACAGGCAAAGAGAGAAGCAGGCTCCGTGCAGGGAGCCCAATGTGGGACTCGATCCCGGGTCTCCAGGATCACGCACTGGACTGAAGGCGGCGCTAAACCGCTGAGCTACCCGGGCATAAGCTGCAGAATCTAATAGTCATTCAAACCTTACCAACTTGCTTTCTCAGATTTATATCAGCTAGTCCACAGGCTCACAGGTGAGTACCAAGCCAAACATGGGAGGCAACTAGCCTAATGGGAATATCCTGAAAGAAAGAGACCCCCAACTTGCAGCAAGATACTAGAACACTTACTTGCTGGAAATCTCCATGGGGCAATTATAGCAGCCTGCTGATGGGAACAGAAGTCAGGCTTGCACACAAGACTGGTGAAACCTGTTCATGACCATTATAATCAACTCCAAATTGCCTTTAAAGAAAATTCTGGTCATCCTTTAAATGTTGAATCCACCTGGGGAGCATATGACTAAGTTTATGAACAGGCGGAACTGGGATTTTTCTTTGAGTTAAAAGGAGTAGGATGAGGGATGCCTGGGTGGTTCAGTGGTTGACCATCTGCCTTTGGCTCAGGGTGTGATCTCAGGTCCTGGGATAGAGTCCCACATCAGACTCCCCACAGGGAGCCTGCTTCTCCCTCTGCCTAGGTCTCTGCCTCTCTGTATCTTTCATGAATAAATAAATAAAATCTAAAAAAAAAAAAAAAGTAATAGGATGAAATGGAAACTATGTCCACTCTAAATTTAGCTAATCTGGCAAACCAGCTCACTTGTATCCACGAAAATTCTCCGTTTTCAACTCCAGCAGATGAAGGCCCTAAATAAAATCAAAACCTCCTAGTTTCTGCTATTATGGCAAAAAGCCAGGACATTGGAATAAGGCTGCTACCATTTTTTTTTAAGTAGGCTCCGAGCCCAGCATGGAACCCAACACAAGGCTTAAACTCACTACCCTGATGTCAAGACTTGAGCTGAGATCAAGAGTCAAGACACCAAAAAAAAAAAAAAAGAGTCTAGACACCTGACTGAGCCACCCAGGTGCCCCAAGACTGCCACCATCTATTTTTTTTTTATTTATTTATTCATGAGAGACACACACACAGAGAGAGAGGCAGAGACACAGGCAGAGGGAGAAGCAGGCTCCATGCAAGGAACCCAACATGGGACTTGATCCCAGGGCTCCAGGATCACACCCTGGGCTGAAGGCAGTGCTAAACCGCTGAACCACTCGGGCTGCCCGCCACCATCTTTTTTTAAAGAGCTTTATTTATTTGAGAGAGAAAGAGATAATGACCAGGGAGAGAGGCAGAGACAGAGGAAGAAGCAGATACCCCGCTGAGCAGGGAGCCCAATATGGGGCTTGAACACAGGACCCTGAGATCATGACCCGAGCCAAAGGCAGACACTTAACTGACAGCCACCCGGGCGCCCCAAGACTGCTACCATCTTGAGTACTATGGGCCCCTGCATCCCCTCCAGCCAGCCTCCTAATTCCCAACATTGGAGCTCTGAAGAACTACAGAGGCCCCTGACACAAGCCACTGCTTGACAAGAGCAAGCCATCTTGTTCTCTACAGGAGGATTATCCAGGACCTCCAAGCAAAAAACAACATGGTTATCTCTCAGCATCCTGTTGCTCCTAACCCCTGTATGTTGCTGACATTTGTTCCCAGAGAAAGCAAGTTTTTTACTGCACTTGATCTATGCAGTGCATCTTCAGTATTCCAGTTAATAAGGAGAGCCAAGATCCTTTTGCTTTCACTTGGGAAGAACGTAAATACATTTGAACAGTAATGCCTCACAGTTTCACAGATGGTCCTTGCTTCTCATAAACCTCATAATTTGGATGATATACAATTTTCTGTAGGCTCTACTTATTATAATACATAGATGATCCGCTTCTTCACTGCTCTTCTCAAACCTCTTCACAAGAAGACAGCATCCACCTGTTAACACTTTTGGCCTTAAAGGGACATAAAACCCCAAAGAAAAACGGCAGTTTGCTAAAATCAGGTTTGATACTAGGAAACCTGATCTCAGAACAAGAACTACGTTAGAATCCAGGTAGGCTTCCTGAACTTCCCAAAACCTCAAACTAAGCTCCAATTACAAAGTTTTCTTGAATTGGCTGGTTAGTCAAAATTGGATGCCAAACCTCTCTTATGGCTCAATCTATACATGTTTTACTAAAAAATGAAAGATCAAGGGCCCCTGGCTGGCGGAGTCAGTAGAACATGCGACTCTTGATCTTGAGAACATGCTCAAAGCCCTACATTGAGCACGGGGCCTACTATAAATATGAAAGTAAAAGTTAAAAAATGAAAGATCAGGAAAACACAGCTTTGGGGCCTTTAGAAGAGCCTAATAAGACCCCTGCCCTCAGATATCCTAATAATTAACTTCTCTTTTTCCTCTCCATAAATAAGAGGGAAAGGAATGCCTTAGAGCACTCACCCACAAAAACAGGGACCATCGTCCAGACCCTGTGGCAGAGGAAAATCCCTCTGCTTCACAGCCATTCCTGCCACCAATTACCCTGTTAGTTAAGGCCACTGAAGAAAGAATCACAGGATCCCCTTTAACCATCCTTGTGTGCTGGTCAAGGGTAAAACCACATTTATACCAATGCTCAGCACACCATGGCTCATGACTTTGGAATGTTGGTTAACAGTGAAGTTTCCTTACCTTGAATGGGAATAGAATTAAAAATGGTCCCATCTCCAAAATTTATCAGATGCCACACTTTTGCTGGCTGCTGTGGCTATGATTAAGGCTCCTCAGCATTCCAGATGCAACTCCCTGGAGACCAAAAGAAATCACCTCGCTGACATTTCTGCCAAAAATGATGCCATCAAGGAA